AAAAGGGTTGGTATACATCAATGCAATCTCTCAAATAACCTTAACTACGCCGTGCAAGGCCATGAGACTACAATGAATAGTTCTTAATATTTTTGATCAGAGATTAGAACACAGAAAGTTTTAAACATAAACAAGCACTGGGAACTGTAAGATAGATTGAAGATTTTCTGCACATCTTCATTTTCTTTCATTTTTACACTTTAACATATGTGGTTTCAAATATTATTTTAATTTTGAATTCTCTTTATTTAAAATTATTACTTTGGGGTAATTATAAATGTTGTGCTGTATTTTAAATTAAATCATGGATATAGTTCATCCTTAACTCTGCCTTAATGTCACCTATGTCTTTTGAATTTGCTCACCTTCTTAAATTAAAATCATACATGTGATGGCTAAAAATTGAACTCAAAGATAATATTATCATGAGCTATTTTGAATCATTCCAAGAAACACACAAACACAAGTTTCATTTTATGTAAGCTTTTATGGCCAGATTCATTGATATGCTGTGGCTGTTTTATGCTACTCTGGAGTAGAGCAAAGCAGCCAGAGCATACTGGCTGGTTACGCTAAATTTACAGCTCCTTTGTTGAATAAAAGCAGTGCAAAGCAGTTGGAAGGCACACCCCAGTTTCCTTCTGTCTCTTTCTTCTCCCTCACTCTTCTGGACGCTCATGTTTGTTTCCACTGCCTCCTGTGACTTCAATATTCTGCTCTATGGAAACACATCTCTCCTGTCCTTCGTAAACTCCAAGTACATACATGTACATGTGTGCATGTACAACACAGACCTGAGTCCCCCTCTGCTGCCTCCTTTACTGAGCACATCTGCTATTATGTGGAGCTTATGAAAATAATTATTTGAACATTAGTAGTTGACCATTGCTCTTATTTTTTTCTATAACTGTTGGCAGAAGAGAGTGGATTACATCCTCGTAAACTCAAGTGTAGAATCATCCTCTTAGAAAATAGCCACCATCTCCTATTGCTTTCAAAGAGATTAAAGCAAATTTAACCTGAATAGGTGGAAGTAAACTATGAAACAAAACTCTCTAGAGGCAAAGATACATCAGGCCTTGAAAATAATGGAAAAGAGCTGTGCTTTTTTTGTTATTGTAGGGGAAAAGAAGAGATGCGTGCCCTTTAGAAAAAGGACATTCTTTCAAGGATTTTTGTAGCTAGATCAGTTGCTTAACTATGACAAACATCCATCAAACACAGCTTTTCTGGCAAAATTAAAAGGTATAGTGATTTGATTACTGCACTGCTTTCTCATTCTACAGAAACTTCTCTCATACATCTACTACCTCCTTGTAGTTAACATGAGCAAACATTTTCTTAGGAGAAATGAAAAAGAAATGGAAGGGAAAACATATTCTTTTATATATGAAAGAACAGTCTTCATCTTCAAACAAGCTACAGCCATTTAAATTTGATTTTGCACTAGAAAGTGTTAGTTTTAAAATACAATACAGACTCTTCATGTAGCACTGAAATCAAAATGGTAGACACAAACCAGCACCATTCCTGTTTCCCACTAGGGTCCCACTGGAGCCACTCACTCAGCATGCCTTTGAAGTGATTATTCTGTGTTATGCCTCTAACTCATCTTCAACTTTTCTGCATTTTTACACATGAAAGTTGTTTCTTCCTGAAGAAATGGAAATACTTTCTCAGACAGTTTGGAGGAAGAGTGACATGGAGTCTCATTCAGTCCCAACAAGATTCACTTAAAAAATATTTATCTAGTGATTTATGCAGTGGTAAATAACTAATATTCAGCTACTTGGATGTATATAGATGTGTGTGTAAATACTTGTACTGTTCTACAAATAGATTCTGGCTTAAGAACAATATACCTGGTATCAAATACATCATCATATATAATACCTGATTATGGGCAAAACTCTAGAGGCAGAAAAAAGCCTTGGTCTATATTTCTGTGGGCATTATCATTCAGAAGGATCTCAGCTGTGAAATTTGACAGTCAATCAAGCACTAATGAGCTACCTAGTGTCATGGTTGCTGACACTTCAAATATGTGCTCGGTACAATTCTAGGAAGAAACTAGGGCTCTGCTGGTGAGAAAGTGAAGGTTATGTGTACACCCTAGGGACATTTAGATTATTTTAATGCAAGTTTCTCAGTTCCTAAGAACTCAAAGGATTAGGCTCTCAAGGCAGCCAGAAAGCAGGAAGCCTCAGCTTCTCTCCAAACAGGCTCCACCCGTCTGCAAACTTACTCACACCTTGGTTGTTTTGGAGAGGCCCTTCAACACCACCCTCTCTGGCCTTCTGCAGGGACTGAATACTGTATAATCTTTCTGTCTACTGGAGAGCAGGTATAAAAAGAAAATATCTTCATTTTGTCTCTTATTTTTCTCTTAAAATGGAGCATGTCCAGCATTTTCTCCACCCCTTAGTTAAGATCTTCTCTGTATCTCTAAAATCAGTTTATTTGAAAAAAAATAGCAAGCCCATTTTCCTATCTACAAAACTCACTGTTTATTTTCTTAGAAACTGACCTGTTGCAGGTCAAAACTCCAGAACAACAGCTGACTTACTGGTTTTTTTTAGCAACTTTTCTGTTGATTTTCTACAAGACTGTGCCTTCCTTCCTTTCTGTCTATGGCTCAAGGACTCAACTGTGGATCAATCTTTCCTGACTGCTGTCTCACAGTTCTGTCCTGGCTAAACTGAGAACACAGGCTACATTATGCTTGACATTTTGAATAATAGAAGGGATAGATTCTGGTCCACAGATTAAGTGTCTCTCTATTAGGAGTTGTAAATTTACCTACCATTCAGACCAGATCCATAGAAAATGGCTACCTGGTCTATCCTGTGTAATTTACATATTTTTGTATTTTTCCTTCGATGTTCCATGAAGTTTGCTTCATTGATCCCCATTCAGAACTGTCATACCAATCATACCAAATCCATATCAATAAGCACTACAGAGGACACAAAGACTGTGCCCAGGCAAAAAGGGGCTTATGGTTTAGGGAAACCTTTCTGGTCTTTCCTACTCTTCTAGAAAAAACCAAAACAGCAGCATCTATTGTAATCAGTTAACAGCATTATATTTCTTTTTAAAAAAGGCAGCAATTAACTATTTAACACAATGTATAACCTTCACATTAATTACAACATTAATCGCAAGGTTAAATGGATGCATTTAAAATAACACCATTAAATTTTGCACTGTCAACAATTTTTAAAGGGGCGATCCTAAACTTTGCTTTGAATTTATCTGCATTAAAAAATATATATAATTAAGCACTTCTTTTAGTGGTACGTCTGTAAATGATTAGTCAGTGTGTAGTAGCTCACATGAATTTTATTTTCCTGAATAGTGCTGCTTTGCTCAGGCACAGAGATTGAAATTCCCTCTAACTCTGAGCCAGAGAAGTAGGTACAGCAGTAATATTAGCTCCTCCACACTATTTGCTAGTGTAACTTAAACTAAAACTGCAAAGTACATATTTGAAAAGGTATTACTAAGTCCAGGTATTTGTTGTCATGATAGCAGGGGTACCACTTATGGTTGAAGTCTCTGTTATGTGAGTCTTCTGTTCAGTAAGCTGGGACCACCGTTCTCTGCAGTGTTAGGTGGCCACATTCCCTATATCATTATTGGGACAGGTTGGATCCAAACCAAGAATTTTGGGGTGATCATACCAGATATATTAATATCAGACACTAATAGCAGTGATTTGAACCATCCAGTCCCCTAACTTCTGTAAAATCTCACCAAACAATAAGAGAGATCTTGGAAAGAGCTTGAGGCAATACTGAGGTGTAGAAAATTTGGAGCCTGCCACTGACTATTTGTTTAGACTCTTTTTAAATACAGGCAAATGTAAATAAAATTAAAACCTTTTCCACAATAATAATAATGTGATACTGTGAATGTGTAAGGCCATTTCTGTGTCTAGGGCTTAGACTCTGAATTCAGGTGTGTTATTTATCAGATCCTCTGCATATTATTTCATGGACTCCACAGGCATGCTGCAGAAAGAAACCCCAAAAATTAGTTTTATACTTTTTGTGATCTATTTTCAATAGAATATAGTCAAAAGCTGTATAGGATAAATGCACTACTTGAAATTAAAAGTCTTGAAAGTGCTTGGAGATACACATTAGTTGTCTCATTGCCTTTCTTGCATATCAGTTTTCACTAAATGAAACCTGTTTTCAAACACGTAGCATTTGCCCAATCTTGAGAGGTGAGTGCCCAGTAAACCCTTCTGCTGGACTGGTTTACAATGAAAGGAAATGGTATATGTAAGACAGGACTACTGAAAGTCTAAGAGTGTTTTAAACTGGTTTTATCTCCTCTGGTCCCATGAAAATAAGACTAAAGTTTATGATGCATCACCTATGAAAGAATAAAATTTCATTTAGAATGAGCTATTGAAAGCAAAGATAAATACAGCATGCAACATTTCCTATCACTCTTACTGAGACATTTCACAATTTTTTACTTATAAGTAGATAACACTTTACTGCAATTCATAGAAAAAGCCAACTGGTCAAATCTGTGAGCATCACAATGAGACTTTTAAATGAATGAGGAACACTGGATTCGGACCATACTTCATATTGCTCTCTGTCTGCTCTACTTGCATGTAACTGCAATCAACAAGGAACGTGAACAGTAATTTTCTTCTGCCTGGTATAGAAGTTTATATTTAAATTTTGTAGGTAGAGAAGTGAGCAAGCTCAAACTCATTTTACTGGCACGATACAATGATGACAAAATGAGTGACTGATCAAATCATTAGGCGCTTTTTTTTTTGTCAATTCTGAGTGGATTATCACAACAATTAAATTATCCACTTTTCTTATTTACTAAGCTTTCGTTTACTGGGATACCAGGATTAAGGTAGTTTCACCATGGGTCATTCTCCTGTCTTTCAAGATTACATTAGCTCTTATTCATGTGCTTATGTTCTACAACCAGTTTTCATAACTTTAAAAGAAAAAGGTACCAACCTGAATGCTGTGAGATACTCAACATCGCCCATAGGAGGATCCAAGCCACCTGTCCAAGCAATATTTATGTTATACCCTTCACCAGGGCCACTTCCAACCTGAAAAATAGGAATAAAATGCCAAAAGGAGTGAAGAGGAGGAAAAGGGAGGAGGAAAAGAGAGAGGGAAAGGAAAAAAAAAAAGAAAAAATTCTCAAGTGTGCTTTAGAAACAAACATCAAACAACATGTCAGATCAGCCCAGCCTTGTTTGACAAGGACTGCTCTGGGTTATGCACTTGTTCTTCACTGGTCCCCTGCTCCCAGTGGACAATTTGGTAATCTGGTGTAATTTAAAGAACCAGAGAAGGACAAGAAAATTAGGGGTAATCATGCAACGCAATTACCTGAAAGATACAAATAAAAATGGGGCTCTAAAGAAATAAACCTAACCTCATTTGGGGCTCCACTGCCGGGGAAGAAGTTGCCTTCATCATAGCGATGGAGGGAAACATACAGGATGCTGGGGTCAGCATAAAAAGCCTGCTGTGTACCGTTGCCATGGTGAACATCCTAAAGGAGAAAGAAAACAGATGACAAATGTAATAATGTCCAACTCAGTGCAGAGAGCTCAGTTCTGCTTTCTTTTACCACCCCCCCCCTTTCTCTCCCTCTCCCTTGCCCTCCTTTTGTCTTTCCCTTTCCCCCTCCCTTCACCACCCCATACTTCCTGAACTTTCAGGCAAATTACTCTTTAATGCACTCATTTTTTAAACTGGCTTCTAAAAATCAGGAAACCATAGCGAGCATGCCCTGGAGACTCCAGATGAGCAGTCATTGAGAAATCCCAGTCCTTTTGTACAATTAGATATTTATACACCGGCTCTTTGTACTCTTTGCCTCAGTGATGGAATCTAGCATCCTGTTTTATGGAGGAATTTTATGACTTATTAACTGCCAACAGTTCATAACCCCTCAGGCTTAATTAACTAGCCTCATTGGCCTCTGAAGAAAGACTAATGTTTAAACTACAAACTAGTATTTTGCAGAAGGATCTATGGTTTACAGAGCTTTTTCACAATTCTTGACAGAACACTAAACATAAGTGTATTCATTGATTTGCCAAGTTCCACTATTGAGGTCAAAGGCTCTGCGACCAGCTGAGTAAATTGGCTTTCTTGAAACATTCAGTTCAGTTAGCAGTCCCTCAGCAGTTAGATCAACATCAAAAGAGATGCCAGATGCGGAAAGGACTTCATACTTCATTTTTGCAAAATCATGACGGCAACAGTTGAAGACATAGGAATATGATCTCATTAGCTATTAAATCATCTAGCAGATAGGATGGTGCCTTCCACAATCAAGGAGTGACCTTGGCCAGTCTCCATATTTCAAACATTATATAACACCAGTGAAAAGAAATTCTGTCATTAAATAAAACACTGAAAAAGAAATGCTGACAGTATATCTATATAACAAAGGCTGATGATGTGGACTTTTCCTCTGTTTTAGTTTTGTTTTCACAGTTCTACTGTTGTACTACGTGGTTAGACACACAAGAAATTTTACAAGTGAAAGTGGAAAATCCACTTGCCTTTCAGGAAAACAAAACTGAGTCTTTTTCTAAGTTTCTCCACTGCATTTGTAAGAACTGGAAAAACTATAGATATTGTTGATTCTCCTCCTTTAATCCATCCCCTTGAAATTTCTGATTTAAAGAGAGGATTCAGAAGGAGGACAGACAAGGTACTCTAAATGGCAACACTATCACCCAGGATGTATTTATTTTGCAAATGCTATGAGCTCTGAACCAAATTTAGTATCAGAGAAGTAATGGTCAAATTTTCCTCAGGATACCTAGACTCCAGGAAGGTTCAAGTTAGGTGTACATTGCCAATGGCACAGCAAGCACTGCCCATTGCTTGTGCTCTTTGCCAGCTGATGTAGCCCATGACTTTCACCCACACTGTTCCGGACTCTACATTGACTGAGTCTTACTTGTACTGCATTGTGCTTGACTTGGACCTCCTCTGGGACCTCTGTGGGGTAATGTTATAGTGGTTACTTTTCTCAGTTGAAAGTACTTGAAACAACATGAGGATGAAGTTACAGCCCAACTGTGACTTAATGCCAAGGTTAAATGTAACACATGTTGGAGGTGCAAGGGAGCACGTGCTGGTGTGAGGGTGTTGGAGTTTTGAAGGCAGCCAGCATAGTCTTAGAGGGCTCTGACTGGCAAATGAAGTAAAATCTGGCATGCAGGCTAACCCCAGAATCCCATCCAGTCTTCAACTGCAACAAAATTAATTGGTTTAGTCCAAAACAGACCCAGATGATGCTAACATACATGCAAGTATGGACGATCTTGGAACAAGGATTGCAACAACATCCTGAGAAGCTATGTTGGCCGTATAGATAGATCTGCAGAGACTATGACTAAAAACATAATAGGACTTCATTTTGTGATTTTAATTAGTCTTTCCACGCATCTTTGGGGCTTTAGATATATTATTGCTGTAACAGTTTTCAAATGAGGAAAAAAATTAAATGGGCATACAGAGCTCTCTCTTTTTTTTTTTTTTTTTAATTATTCAAATCTCAAAGCTAGCGGTCTTGTCTAAACTTCAATTCCACCAAGGGTTACTCTGTTTTGAAGAGCAGTGACTCCTCTGGTTAGACAAAGGAATGTGTTGTTTAAGACTGCGGATGTTACCATGTGGGAAATTTTTTTCATATTCTGCCCTTAGTAGATCAAATGTATTCAGGGCATATAAGTCAGTTCAAAAATGGAGATTTATTCAAATGGTGGAATGAGCAAAGAAAAGCTGATGGAGAGGTCTTTTATTTTAGTGTAGAAAAAAATGAAGGAAAGATTAAAAATTAAGAAGTTAAGAATTTGTATATGAATACATGTAGCAGCTATGAAGACTACACTTAATTTGTAACTAAAGTACAGTTTAATGTGTGGGATTGACTATTACTTTTTAACATTTACATTGTAGTAACCTGTACAGCTGCCAACCAGCATGGGGTCCTGCTGAGCTAGTCACTATCAAAATATAGCCTTAGAAGTTAATTTCAAGTCTAACATCCCTAATTCCATTCTTTCCTTCAGATGCCCAAAAATCTCTGTTGGTGAACATAAAGACATCACTATTAACTTGTCCATTCATTCAGTTTGGATTGTGATTTATCCATAGTTTGCATACATAAGAAATTTTCTGTATGAATTTTTGTACATCATTGCACTGACCATGGAGCAGGCTAGGGACTGGACTGCAACTGCTCCAGGAATGAAGTCATCTGTATCAGTGATACATTTCTCCCTTTTCACCAGCTGAGTTATTCCGGCCAATGGGATAGAGTCAGAGAGAGGCTGAGCATTCCCTATCTACTTTCCTGGGTGAGGATAGGCAGCTTCATGGGTAATCATTTGCACAGGTAATGATTTGCACATTTAACCTTGCCTTGCAAAACTGAAGCTGAATTCCTAAGTGCTTATTGGCTGAGTATGTCAAATGGAAGTGATTCCTTTTCCCGACAAGGTGAATGTAACACTTACAGTCAAAAAGACTTGAAAACATTCACAAAATGCAAACTTTGAATAGGCTTTTCTTATTAAAAAACAAGAATAAACATAGACTTCACTTTTGGCCAGCATTTACAGCAGTAAAACTCAATGAACTGTAAGATTCAAGTCAGCAAACAGATACCAACATACAGTGGAAGTGAATTTTTCAAAAATACTGGTTTCTTGCAGTTCATAATTATGTTCCTAAGTGATAGTAGAACACTCTGAGCAATATTTGAAAAACATTCTAAGAATATCTAACCTACCCATATACTTATTCTACCACTCATTTTTCACTTGCCATTCCTTCTCCCACACTCCCCCTTTCTCTGCTTCTCTTCAACAGCCAGTACGCATATTTAACTGAACAAAAGTGCTAGATGGTAAGGCCATGACTTCACAATAAGATTTAATTATGAGTGCAGATATGAACAAGATTTAGACTATTAAGCCCTGCACTTCAAAAACCCTTTAGCATATTTTGTCTTTAAATCTTTTATCACCTGCAAAAATTAATTAAGTGCAGATGTAACAGGTTAGGTTTTGATGCCAGGGTTCATTTCCTGTCTATGCTTTGTCAGACACCCTATTACACCTCCTCATGAACTGTAGGAAAACAAAAACGGTGCTCATAAATCAGCATTCAACTTTCCTTGGGCTGTGCATTGGGCTGATCCTTTAAGTGCAAGGCAGAGCTCCAATTCATTATTCATGAAAATAATATAGACAACATGCCAAATGTCATCTGCATTTAAATAATCCATTTGTTAAACATATTAAGTATTGTGTAAGAATGCCTTCTATTAAAATACAAGACTAATCCAATGAAGTGGATTTTTAATCACGTAGCTTTCCTTCAGGGAACCATCAAAAGCTGGCATACATGACTTGAAAACTTCTTAGAGGGAATGACCTGTTGATTTGTTTAATAATATCGAAGTTACACAACAAGTCGAATCATTGCTAGCTGGGGGAAGTGGCCAATTTGGTTACCAAAGCAACAACATTCTTTAAAGCACATCTGACTATTTAAAGTTTGTATTCTGTCGGGAAAAGTAAACTTGGGTTCTGTAGGGTTATTTTAACGGTGGAAGTATCAATTCATTTAAGGACCATAAAAGTTGCCCTGATCTGTGCCTTCTTCTCATTAAATTGCAGTTAACACCATTAAAGTGAAACATAGATGTTTATGACTTCAGTACTGCCATCCTGGCTTTAATGAGTTCCCAAAATCAGAGGAAATGCACACCTTTATTACTTGTAGGTATTAAAAGCAGAAAAGTCTGACATATAAATACAAATTCATTATCTAGATGCACTGAAAGTGCAATGCTTGCCAAGAATACATACCAGATCTACAATCAATATCTTGCCTATATTTAGCTTGTCTCTCAAGTATTTGGCAGTAATTGCAATCGAATTAAAAAAGCAGAACCCCCTGTGGAATAGAGAAGAACAGAAATAAGAAAGCAAATCAGTCAGGAAAACAGCTATAAATAATGTTCAGAGCATTTTTAAAAATGCTATATGATCTCTGAGGCCATAAATCTGCTTCTGGGAGTACCTAGAAAGCCTTTTCAGTCATCTGCTAACAATTACAGTTCTTCAGAGACATGCACAACGCAGGTGATTGCCAGTAACCTTAGTGCTCCAAGATGGGCAATATTCCCTGGTACTTACATGGCTGTTGATTCTTCAGCATGATGGCCTGGGGGCCTTACAACAGCAAAACCATTCTGTAAGAACAAGATAGGTTTTCAATTATCAGCTTAAAAAAATACTTGACTCGGTGCAAAACAGAGCAGCAGGCAGACTGGGTTGAAATCTATTAAAGGCTCTTGGACACTTTTTCTATCCAATCACCCTTTCATAGTACTGCCAGAAATAATATGTTTGAGAACAGTGGCATATAAACTTATCTAAATACACACATGCACATACATACATACACACACACACAACATGATCCAAAGAGGAGGAAAAAGGCAGGATGAGAAAGCTGTTGCAATCAATCCTGCTGTCTAGAATTCACATTTTAAAGGAAGCAGAGAGCACTGATCCATTCTTGATCTAAGTTCATGTAATCTACATTACTCCAACTTGAGATGCTTCAAAATAAAAGTAGCGTGATGTATATATTTTACATGATTAGACAATGTTGACCCTGCCTTCTACATGGACTAAATGATAAATTCAGACACATACACACACACACACGTGTAATTCCTAACAGTAGAAAAAGGATGACAATGAATACCCCATATTTCTGCAAACTATAAATTAAACCTGTGAACCTGCCACACTCGCAAGTTTAATAGATTCACTAAAGTCAATTTCTAACACACTTTCTGGAATCGTATATAAATTTCATAAAGTACAGCACTAGGATCAGTGATGATCAAGGAAATTTTTGCCTCTAGAGGCACTGAAGATAAAAGAAAAATGAAGTTTCCCTCCTTCCTGTGTGGGTAAGGTAAAGGGAAAATGTAGAAGTACTGGCAAGGTAGCTCTGTTCAGAAAGTCAGATTATGTATTCAAGAAGCAGTGTCTCATAAGGGTGTGTATCATATAAAATTTCTCTTACAACAGTCAGACTCAGGAGTAACACCATTACTTCATCAAACTTACTCTTTATTTCAACTACTCAAGACAGTCTCTTCAGCTATATATTTGACATCACATTAATGACAATTAACACACACAAAAAAGTAAAATATTATAATCTTGCATGAGTGTATCAGCCAAACTTGTATTTTCAAGCAGCCTCACACAAATACCATGTGTATATGTACAGCTGCAAGTCCAAACATTGTATTTTCAGAGGGGAGGGGACAGGAAGAAAAAGGGTGGAATATTTCTGTATTTTAATAATCAGTATTAAAGTAGTCCAGTTTGATATACTTAAGATAGTCAAATGTCAATGTTTCAGCCTTTATTCAACTGAAACAAACATGATAGTCACTAAACTTTCACTCACATGGGTGTAAATAAGGAGGAACAACATGGCAGTTAACAAGTTATGTTGGTGCCTGTGAAATCTGTTTATTTACAATCCTATGAATGTGTGGTTTTGTGTAGCTGTGCAATTGTCTACCTATGTTGTTTCACTGGCATTCATTTATAGACAAATACTACTAGGCTATCTCATACAATTTGCTGCTAAACATAATCCAAGCAGCCAGCTGCAAAGTTTTGTGGAGCCTGGCCAAAGTTCTATCAGACTACAGCAAACTTAAACTATAATGCAAACAGAGTACATCTATAAGAGTGGTTCTTCTGACCATCATTTAAAGAATCTGGGGGATTTGACATCATGCCTTATTTTACATTAAATGTCCACATTTAAAAAAAACCCAACCAACCAAACAAAAAACCCTAAAGAGAGAAAAAATATATACATTCATTTTTCATTCCTGGAGGTGGAATATAAATTGCCTATAGATCAAACACACCATCAAAAAAAAAGGCCTTGTGGACTGCACTAATCTTCAGAACCAAACCAGCTTTACACTCTTAGCTAACACCCTATTCCTTATCATTGTGAGGGTTTTTTAACATTTCCTTTTCACACAAAATATGACTTAGAGAAGAATTCTGAGAGGAATTCTCTTGTAGTGTTTATGAAGAAACAAATTATGTTTATGCTGAGGAATGTACAGATAACAAAGCAAAAAAAGACTCAGAGAAGAGGGTATTACCAGAGAGAGAGCATCATGCTACCTGTATTTTGCTCTCTTGATATTTGTAAGAATTTGTAAAAAGTCCATGCAAGGCTTACAGCTGCCCCTGCTCAGCTCACAGCTCATTATCATCTAACTCTGTTGGCATTCCCAAAAGATCAATATAATTAAGATTATTATCTCTGGGAGGATATTGTGGGGCAATATAGAGACAGAAAGGAATCAACACTGCTGTTTTTGACAATGTGACGGTTACAGTATAGGCTTCTGTTTTCTGTTCCCTTACTTTGACAAGACTGTTTGGAAGCCCTCTTTTGCTATAGCTAGCTAATTTCTGCTATCAGCGCTGAAGTTAACTATTGCATTTCTCCATGACCATGCAGAACATTTGCATCAGTGTTGTGACCATTTTTTATGTGTTTTTACATTACAAGAAGTTCAGTATTCACATGGGAAATTTCATTTTTTAAAAAAATACAATGCATATGTTATACTGATAATAAACCATATAATATAATCAAATTTTAACAAACACTGAAAAGTAGTTACCATACAGTATTAACGGCAACTGTTGTGCAATTGATAAAACACTTCATTTCTCCTACTTTCAAACTTTGTATGAACACAGTGTACATTAGCACAACGGAACGTGAATTCATTTATTTAGGCAATATTTAAATACCAGACAGTGAGCTCAGAACAGTAGACAGAAAGGCAAAAATCTGCTTTAAAGATAGAAAGACTAACACAGAGTAATATGTTGAAAATGAAGCCAACACACATAAATTCAAAACATTTTTGTACAGAGCCTTATTTATACTAGGATACAGACACCTTTATGTGTAGACAGAACATTAAACTGACTGACAGACATGAACATTAGAAAAAGGATTCATGTCTGTGCTATTATATGATTACCTTCGGTTAAATTTGAGGATAAAGAGTAAAGCCTGAATAGAGATATTCTAAAATCTGTGCATATCTGAACAATGAACAAAGAGAAGTCTGCCCAAACTCAGTTTACAAAGAAGATCCATTGCAGATAGACCCACTTAGTTGGATCTTTAATGAAAACTAAGAAAAAATGTTAGTCTTTTTCCACAGTAAGCTAGGTATTGTCTTCTTTCATACCAAACAGGTAGTTGGATGCTTGATTTCCGAAGAACAGAGGTGTACATCCTACTGTGGCCTTCCTGTCTTTGGTGGTACAGTTAATTCCTTTCTGTAGTGTGCTGGGTTAGCGTTGGGCTACATCATGCTTGGGCATCTACTATACCTCTCCCTGAATCTTTCCAAGACAATCACTCAAGACAATACTATAACACAGCTGGTTACTCCAGGGCTTGGGACTGACCATCTACATCAGAGTTCCACTGGTGTTTCTATTATACAAGGAGGTAAAAGTAGATGTAGGAAGTATGTGGTGACTGTGGCAAGGTGTGAATCACTCTTCCCTTCGCTTGGCAGTGAGGAGCTTGCTCTGCCTAGATTCCAAGTGGACCAAAAGTGACCCAGCCAGTCTGGCACTCCAGGTATGCTGAGAAGCCTGGCTGAGAAGCAGTGCATACTAGCTTCAGCCTGGTACTACTCTAGTAAAATCATATGGCTTTTTGTTGATTCTAACAAAAGCCAGTGCCATGCAAGAAATAGCAATGAATACCAGCAGGTACTCCAAGAGCACTTACTGAAGCAGTAGAAGACTCAGGTTCAACTCCTTCTTGAAGATGAGGGTGAATTTGTAAATATTCTTCCCATACTCATTTGTGTATTTAGATTATGTGGTCCATAAAGTAGATATTGAGACACAACTTTTTAGTCTGGGTGAATTTTCTGACAATAAGTCTACAGTCATGCTCTTCCTCAGCTCTTGTTCAAATTTACAAATCTTATTTCCTGCAGAGTAGCAGTCCTTCAATAGAGGATGAAACACCACTACTGAATCTCAGGTTTAAGATAAGACAGTTTTACATGGAGTTTAAAAATGGATTCCTTCCAGCTGAAAAGATAAGAAATTGAAGCTCTTCTTGTATTTTAAGCTGTAAACCCCTATATGAAAGAGCAATGTCATCTATCCCAACTATTCAAGAGGCAATGGGCACAAACTGAACATCTGAAAATGCTCTTTTACTGTGAGGGTGACTGAACGATAGAACAGGTTGCCCAGAGAAGTTGTGGAGTCTCCATCCCTGGAGATACACAAAATCCATCTGAACGTAGACCTGGGCAACTAGCTCTAGATTGCCCTTCTTGATCAGGGGGGTTGGACCAGATGACCTCCTGAGGTCACTTCCAACCTCAACTGTTCTGTGATTCTGTGATTCTATTCAGAAGTTCATAACCTTTGAAAAAAGGCTTTCAGGAAAATAGGTGTAATCCCTAGTGATGAGCAGATTTGTCCCATGCACCAGCTAATTGCAGCTGCACGCATTGTTAAGGAGAGCTTTCTCAGGATCTTCTGTGTATTTCATATAGAGAGCGGGTACCTAACTCAGGGTCTGGATTACACACTTGAAGCTCAACATCATCCTAAAGTCAGGTGTTAAACTTTCTATTTTCTATGTCTAAATCTCTTAACCTATCTAGCCCTTAGCTCTTAAAATTAGCAGTGCTTAAATATGGCATTCTTGGACATTCACTTGTTTTTAATAGAAAAGTTTTATTTTTGCTTCAACATGCACAGGCTTCAGAATGAGGAGTAAGTCACTGAAGCTAATACTTCATTTCTTTGTAGAAACTTCTTTAGTTATTATGCAGAAATGTATCCATTTGTCCTGTCAGAATTGATATTCCTTATGTTTTTTATATATAGAACTTTGTATCCTCATAAAGTTATAGAAAAAACTTTAAATTTAAAAGGTGTTCCATACAGTGTATCTGACAGGGTGTAACCCCTGAAGTGGCCTTAGTGCTGTCTTTAACCCTGCTATCTCTGGCTTAGTTAACTCCTACAATAACAAATGTCAGGGCTGCTTTAAGTCTTGGCTGCCTACAACAATCCCTTTGCAACTGGTACACTGAAGAAGATAACCATATTCTTACTGATGTCACTTATTTTG